CAAAACGTGTGTCGGGTTTTCCCCACCAAGCAGTTCTGCAACATCAGCTAAATGTCCCACAATTTAACTCAGTTCTGACACTCTCTGCCTGGAGATAGCATCAGATCTCACAGGCTAAGGACTCAGTCCCACAAGACTGCTCCCCACTTCAGATGCCAGTCACAAGTGATTGGTCCCAAGGGTACCCAGAGCTTCTGCCCAACTTGGTTACAAATCCAAAGTATCCACAAGGGGCTTCCCTGGTGCTCAGTCCAGTGGTTAAAACTCCACATTTCCATTGAGAGGATTCAGGTTCAATCCATGGTTGTGGAACTAGGATCCTGCATGCCATGGGGTACAGCCAAAAAAGAAGTTCCCACGACCTGCACTTGAGATTTAATTCATTTGCTAGAGCCACTCACAGAACTCATTCTACTCTATACTTACTTATGTTTACCAGTTTATTAAAGAGTATGATAAAGGATACAGATGAACAGCCAGATGAGGAAAGATTCAGGGAACGGCCAGGGAGGGTTCTATGCAGCTTCTGTCCCTGTGGGGTTGGGGTGTGGCCACCCTCATGGTGGATAGGTTATATATGGGTATGTGCATCTACTCAACAGTTCCTTGAACCCCTATATTTCTGGGACTTTTATGGAGGCTTCCTCCTATAGGCATGATCAGTTATTATATTCCATTTCCAGCTCTTTTTTCTTCTCTGGAGGATGGAGGTTTGAGACTGAAGATGCAAACATCTCACCATGATGTGGCTCTTCTGGTGGCCAGGCCCCATGCAGGAATCATTCTGGAGCCCACATGGAGCTGCCTCAGTAGAACAAAGGCGCTGCTCGCGGTCTGATCACTTAGAGGGCTGCAGGGTTTCAGGGGCCCCGAGTCAGAGACGGGGTCACAGACCAAAGACCGGAGCAAGAGGTGCTCTGAAAGCTCTTATCATCTAGGAAACTATAACGGTTTTAGGAGCTCTGCGCTCTGTGCCAGGAGCTTAGGGCAGTTATCTCTCTCTCTCTCTCTCTCTCTCTATCTGCTGTATTTATGTTTTGGAATGACTCTGATGCTGGGAAAGATCAAAGACAAAAGAAGAAGAGGACAGCAGAGGATGGGATGGTTAGATAGCATCACTGACTCAATGGACAGGAATCTGAGCAAACTCTGGGAGATAGTAAAGGACAGGAAAGCCTGGCGTGCTGCAGTCCATGGGGTTGTAAAGAGTCAGACATGACTTAGTGCCTGAACAACAACAGCCTGCCATATATGCTATATACAAAATGTATATAACATTTTTAAGTATGCATAATTTTTTTATCTCACACATTTTATTGACTTTATCTTCTAAATATTTTACTTGTTTGTCTTTTTGTGGGGAAGAAGAGATATTTTTAATTTCTAAGAGCTCCTTTTCTTTGTTGCATTAAAAACAAAAACCAGCGACCTGTTCTTGTTTCATGGATAAAATATCACCCTCTATGTCTCAGAGGAAACAGTGCAGGGAGCAGCATAAAAGTTCAAAGAAGGGGACGCAGAGGCTCGCAGCCTGGTATGCAGGAGTTTACACAATCCTTTCATTCTCACCCCGGGATCTGAACACGGCTGCCTTCTGTTCTAGGCCTGCCTGGTTTAGTTGATCCAGAGGATACACTTTTGATTTCCTGTCAGGCTGGGAGCATCAGCACCTGAATTGTCGGGGTGGAAGCAGATGTGGACGCCTTCCTCTCAACCCTCCGCCTTCCCGGTCGCTGGTGCATCCATCTCTGGGGCCCTCAGGTTGCTCTGTGGGGCAAGCTGCCTTCCCGTGGCTCCTGCATCACTCCCCCGACTTCACCCCCCTGCAGCAAGGCTTTAGATTTGCTCTTTGCTCTCCTGGCCGCTTAGTGTTTCTTCATCTACTTTGTCCTCATGGATCTTTTGTCGGAGAACACTGGTTTCTCTTGGGTTTTTGAAACTAGGGCTTATGTTTGTTTCAGTTTCTCCTCTGTTTAGGGTAACTTCTGAGAAAAGCATGGAGCAGAAACATATTCACTTCACCATCTGAAATGGGAACGCAGTACTTATTATGGATTGAATTGTGTCCCCTCAAAATTTATATGCTGAAGTCGTAACTGCCAGTACCTCAGCATGTACGCTTATTTGGAGACGGGGTCTTTACAGAGGACGTTAAGTTAAAATGAGATCTAATCCACTAGGAAAGGTCACAGGAGCAGACACGTATAGAGGGGGGATGATGTGAAGAGACGTGAGAAGACTGTCATCTTTAAGCAAGGAGGGAGGCATAGATCCCTCCCTTGAAGCCATCAGAAGAAACATATATACACTACTGCCACTGTGTATAAAATAGATAACTGAGGACCTACTGTATAGTGCAGGAAACTCTCTTCTGTGTTCTGTGGTGACCTAAATGGGAAGGACGTCCAGAAAAGGGGATATGTGTATTCATATAGCTGATTCACAGTACAGTAGAACCTGACATCACATTGTAAAGCAACTATACTCCAATAAAAATTTAAAAAAAAAGAAGCCAACTTTGTAGACACCTTGATTTTAGACTTTTAGCTTCCATGTGAGGCAATAAACATATGCTGTTTAAGCCACCCGGTCTGTGGTTCTTTGTTATGACAGCCCGAACAACCTAGTATAATACAATGTCATTTTTCATTTATTCACACAATGTCCTGCCCCTGCTATAGTCTGATTCCTACTTTTTAAAATGCAACCTGATGTCTCCCGCTTTGAGAAGGTGTCCTTGATCTGCTTTAATTCAATGTCCTTCTTTTTAGCATCCCTTATCACAATACCTCTCATGCTATACTGTAATCATTAATCTTATTAATCTTTCTGTCTGACTTCCACTCTAGGCTATAAGTACTTGAGGCCGGGGGTCCTATCTGACCTCAGGGATTGTGCATAAGAGGTTGAAATATTGCTTATTGAATGAATATATTATTAGTATAGCTTGTGGGGGAGGATAAGCAAAAGTGTAGTTGAGTAACAAATTTATCATTAATATGTTAATACTTTTTGATAGAAAAATTATATGAATATAATTACATAGAAATTTCTGAGACTTTAAGAAAGCTAGTGATATGCATACACGCACAGAAAACACTCAAGATTAAAATCTCATTGTGAGAATAAAAATAAAGAAAACCAGTGATCAAGAGTCATTGCCCATATTTTTGAAGAGAACTTCCTGTCCTGCCTAGGGATCACAGCTGGGTAAGCAAGCATTGGGCCTGCAAGTAACTTTGAACTCTTCGGAGCTGAGATGCCTTGTGAACTGTCCAGATTCTGTGGCTTTTTCATCGGCACTTTATGTGTCTAACCACTTTTTTCTAAGTCAAATATTGTGTGCTGTGCCCATGTGTACTCAGTCACATCCAACTCTTCACGACCCCATAGACTATAGCCTGCCAGGCTCCTCTGACATGGAATTTCCATCCAAGAATCCTGGAGTGGGTTGCCATTTCCTACTCTAGAGAATCTTCCCGACCCAGGGATAAAACCCCCATCTGTTGTGTCTTCTGCATTGGCAGACGGATTCTTTAACACTGCACCACCTGGGAAGCCCAGGACCCATATTCTGATAAGAAACTCAACAGGTTGAGTTTAAAAGGAAGGTATACAAATAGGTTCCTCACTCAAGTCATCTTATCTGCTTTAACTAAATCTCTTATTCCTCCTTTTACTCCCTTGAATAGAGAATGTGCTACCAGCGACTCTTCCCTCCTTTCAGACCTTCTCATATAAAAATAAAGGGTCACTAGAGAATGATTCCTTACCGTTCATATCTTATCACAGTCCCCTTGTAGTCAGGATATGGATAAAGTCCTAGGATGCGTGTGCTTGTCTAATGTGGCAAGGTTTGGATATATGTGGGCTTTCTGAACACACTGGACACACCTGGAGTGCTGCAGTTCTACTTAGTAGTGCTACAGCTGAGGCATCCTGAGAATCTCTCCGGCGAGTGCTTCTTCTTATTTGCTGGAAGATGGGTTTTATAGTGACAGAAATGGAGGAATGAATTAAGAAGTACTTGAGAAAAATTATAGTAAGGGAAAAGGGGGGACCAGGCTACAGAAGCTTTATGGATTATTAGTCCAAAGAACTAGGGTCTGAAATATGTCGCTGCTGCCATGATGCTGCAGGTAGTTTTATGAGAACAATGGATTTCCCACGTGTTAGCTTATCAGGCTGCCCTCTCTGCCTTCCTGAGGGTGGGCTGCAAATCAGTGTGAGGGAGAGCAAGGGCATGACAAAGGAACAGATGGAATACTTGAAATCTCATCAATTCCAGCACGTGTGGTCTCTGTGCCCATGGAGAGGTGGGGGGACCCTGACATGGAGGGTCACTGGGACTGAAGGACGCCTAACTGTGTGTGCTGACTCTTCCGAGCTTCCCCGCCGAGGCCCTAATTCAGCCAGAAATGATGGCTTCTGTGCTCCTGAACGGACTTTGCTTTCCCTCTCAGGCACAGAATTGAACTCCAGGTACAGATTAGGGACACAAAGACCGGGAGAGAAATTCATCTCTGGAATTACACAACATCAGTCACCGGCTGACAGGCTGTTTAATAGGACAGCATTAATGAGCAGCAGACACGTCTGTGCTTCTGCGGTCAGTGTCACCACTGCTTGCCTCTGATATTCATCAGCTCGTTGAAATAGTCTTGAAAAGATATATTTAACTTTCCTCTGCTTCAAATCCTTCTCACGAGAAGGAATAAACTATGTTGATTATCTCTGAGAGGATATTTTTTAAAGCCTAATTAAACAAGCGTTTAGAGCATCCTTTAAAGTGTGCTGGATGGTTGTGCTTATACTTGTCTCTTCCTGTATATCCCAAGGGGCATCTGCAGACGTATGCATAAATCACTCAATTTTAAGCAAGTGTACATGGAAAGCCTGCTGTATGCTCAGGTCGATCTGTTAGAACTGGACCCACGGTAGGCATCAGGCATTGTGGTGATGCTTTTTCTCATGATTCTTTTTTTTCTATACCATTACAGGCCAGAAGACAGGCTTATATGGATACTCTAAAGGAAGAAGAAGATCAAAAATTGCAAAAGATGAAGGAAGAACAGCACCAGAAGGTATTCAAAGACCATATTAGTATTTAGTTGTGGTACTAGATAATGTTGAAGAGCTTGAGAACAGAAATATCTACATACATGAAAATCCTAAAAACAAAACAAAACACCACAGGTGTTAGAAATGGTGAGATGTGAGTATGCTTTAAGAGTACGGTGGTGTGACGGCGGCTTCTTTCAGCTACTTCTTGGCTCCGGCTTAGCCTCACAGGGCTACAGTGCGTCTGCCATGGTTGCTGCCACCGGTTCAGGGAGAAGATGACAGAACACTTGGGAACTTCTTTTTTTTAAACTTTTTATTTTGTATTGGAGTATAGTTGATTAAAAATGTGTTAGTTTCAGGTATATAACAAAGTGATTCAGTTACATGCATAAACATGCATCTATACTTTTTCAAATTCTTTTCCCAGTTACGTTGTTGCAGAATATTAAGTGGAGTTTCAGGACACTTGGGAACTTCTGGTATACAAAATATAACAAATGCCACTGCCATTTTTAAAATTAAAGATATATAATATTGCAAATAATGTCCAGAGACCACGATAATGCATAATGAAAAAAAAAGCAGGCACACAAAATTGTGACACTGGCTTAAATGTTCATCTAAAAATACCTAAAGAATAAAACAGTGCATACTTTACACATATACAAATATGTGAGGTGTTTCAAAAAAAACACAGTATTCCAAATAAAATGAGCAATAGAAATCAGGGAAATGAACACTGAGAAAAGTACTTATTAGAATAGGAAATTTCTGACAGGGTAACTGAAAACAGTATTGTGACTTGATAGTCATACCTGCCTTTGATTCACAGGCTCAGAGGCTCCTCAACCAAGGATGGGAGTGATGAGAGAGATGGGAGTCAGCTCTAAGGGGCCACTTTATTTCAGGTCCTTTAAAAAAGCAAAAAAAAAAAATTGTTCAGCTAGTGGGAGACCATTATCTTCCCCATATTTATCTTGCAACTTTTTTCTTGCTCTATTTGTACTTAATATATCCTGTCATTTCTTCCAGGATATCCCTCAAGTCTGTTTCTTCAATTATTCAATTACTTTGAATTCTAACGCCCATTCTGATTTCCTTAATTTGGTGTGATTTTTCCCCTTATGTCTTTGCTCTACAAGGTAACTTATTATAGCAATTGAGTGTGGAAATCATATTATAACATATTCATATTATGAAATGTGTACTAATTGTTGTTGTTACAACTGACCCTTTGAGTGCTACCCTCCTCCCAACAGAGGTCAAGCCCTTACTTTCTCATAGTTTCATCCAACATACAAAATAAGTGGCTGTCACTGAGTTGTTTTGTGCATCCGTTCAGTTCAGTTCAGTCACTCAGTCATGTCTGACTCTTTATGACCCCACGCACTGCAGCACACCAGGCCTCCCTGTCCATCACCACCTCCTGGAGCTTGCTCAAACTCATGTTCACCGAGTTGGTGATGGCATCCAACCATCTCATCCTCTGTCATCCCCTTCTCCTCCTGCCTTCAATCTTTCCCAGCATCAGGGTCTTTTCCAATGAGTCAGTTCTTTGCATCAGGTGACCAAAGTATTAGAGCTTCAGCTTCAGCATCAGTCCTTCCAGTGAATATTCAGGACTGATTTCTTTGAGGATGGACTGGCTTGATCTCCTTGTAGCTCAAGGGACTCTCAAGAGTCTTCTCCAACACCACAGTTGAGAAACATCAATTCTTTAGCATTCAGCTTTCTTTATGGTCCAACTCTCACATCCATACATGACTACTGGAAAAAACATAGCTTTGACTAGATGGACCTTTGTCAGCAAAGTAATGTCTCTGCTTTTTAATATGCTGTCTAGGTTGCTCAGAGCTTTTCTTCTAAGGATTGAATGTCTTTTAATTTCATGGCTGCAGTCATCATCTGCCGTGATTCTGGAACTCAAGAAAATAAAGTCTCTGTTTCCATCTATTTGCCATGAGGTGATGGGACCAGATGCCATGAACTTAGTTTTTTGAATGCTGAGTTTCAAGCAGCTTTTTCACTCTCCTCTTTCACTTTCATCAAGAGGCCCTTTAGTTCTTCTTCACTTTCTGCCATAAGGGTGGTGTCATCTGCATATCTGAGGTTATTGATATTTCTCCTGGCAATCTTGATTCCAGCTTGTGTTTTATCCAGCCCAGCGTTTCTCATGATGTACTCTGCATATAAGTTAAATAAGCAGGGTGACAATATACAGCCTTGACGTACTCTTTTCCCAGTTTGGATCCAGTCCGTTGTTCCATGTGCGGTTCAACTGCTAAGCTGCTGAAAGAAGGAACGTAGCTGTCAGTTTAGTCATGAAGCCGCTCGCCAGGCCTGATGACCCGGCCAAGTGCCGGCGCGGTGCCTCCCTGGTGGCTCAGGGCTAGGAGCCTGCCTGCAGGTGTGGGTCTGGCCCCGGCTCTGAGCGGCCCCCTGGAGAATCCCGTGGACACAGGCGTCTGAGGGCTACATCCATGGGGCTGCAAAGACGTGGCATGACTTAGCGACTGAGTACAAGCGCGATAAGCAATACAGAAGCCACAGAGCATTTTCACCTCTTGGTGTTTTTAAAAAAAAATATTTTTCCTTTGACAAAGGCTTCATATTGAAATCCACAGTTAAATAAGCAGTGTTAATGTAAGATTCTAGTAATTAGCAACTAGAAACTGAATCTAGTATATATTTAAGTTATATTTTCAACGATGTCCATCAAATGACATGGAAGTATTAATATTTTTCTGTGATCTTTAAACTTATTACAACATCCTGAGGTACTCAGATACTAAGGGGAGTGTTACAAATCAGTGTAGACATGATGTATTTTAAAATAACTACTAGTGAATCTTAAATACTGTTTTATAAAGTTTGGTACATTTAGAACGTGAAAACCTTTAAATGTAGAACATTTTACAAAGAGCATGCTCAACAGATTAGAAAATCAGATTTGCTATTTAATTTTCAGGTTGAGCAGTTATTTTAAACAGTGAAAATTAAGCTTTTTATTTCTTAATCTTGTTTTTCTTCTGGAGTCAGACAAATATTGATACATATATATTTTTCTGGTTATTGATTAAACATTTTATTTTTACATAAATTATTCCATTTTACTTACTGAAGCTTTCAGTAAAGTGAATAATGAGTGTATAGATAGTTCCATCACTAGGGACTTCAATAATGGTAGAATACATAAGGATATTTACCTTATTTTTGCTTCTCTCCCTTTTTGCTCAGTCTGTTGTTAAAAAATGTCCACTGGAAGGTTCCCTGGCCATTAGAGTCTGTCACTCATTATCACTTCAGTGGTTTTGCTTAAAAAAATTAGAAGAATCATGTTTATGGTAGGGAGACATAAAACATTTGTATCATCACATCTTTTCATGTGTTTGATTTCACCTAGTAGCCCAGATGGTAAAGCATCTGTCTGCAGTGCAGGAGACCTGGGTTTGATCCCTGCGTTGGGAAAATCCCCTGGAGAAGGAAATGGCAACCCACTCCAGTATTCTTGCCTGGAGAAATCCATGGAGAGAGGAGTCTGGAGAGCTATAGTCCATGGGGTTGCGAAGAGTCAAACACGACTGAGGAACTAACACACACATTCATGTGTTTACTTGCTCCCTTGATTCAGCAAGTATTTGATGAACACCTACTGTGGAGAAACTGGAGAGTAGATTCTCTAAGTTGAATTGAGGTGACCGCATGTTGAGCCTGCTCCTTCCATCCCTGACTTTCATATTCTCCCTGACTTTCCATATTCTGGTCTTTGGGGACAGTAGGTTCTTCCTTAATTTTAACTTCTCAGTATTCTACATTTGATTCAATCCCCACTTCCAAAACTTTATTTGTAATTCCCTTGGCTTCCCTGGTGGCTCAGGTGGTAAAGAATTTGCCTGCAGTGCAGGAGATCTGGGTTTGATCCCTGGGTTGGGAATATCCCCTGGAGTAGGAAATAGCAACCCACTCTAGTATTCTTGTCTGGAGAATTCTGTGGACTGAGGAACCTGGTGGGCTGCAGTTCATGAGATCGCAAAGAGTCACACACAACTGAATGGCTAATAGCAACCCACTCTAGTATTCTTGTCTGGAGAATTCTGTGGACTGAGGAACCTGGTGGGCTGCAGTTCATGAGATCGCAAAGAGTCACACACAACTGACTGGCTAATACTTTCTCATTTCAGTTTTTCAGCCTATCAGTTCAGTTCAGTTGCTCAGTCATGTCTGACTCTGCGACCCCATGAATCGCAGCATGCCAGGCCTCCCTGTCCATCACTAACTCCCGGAGTCCACCCAAACCCATGTCCATCGAGTCGGTGATGCCATCCAGCCATCTCATCTTCTGTCGTCCCCTTCTCCTCCTGCCCCCAATCTTTCCCAGCATCAGTCTTTTCAAATGAGTCAGCTGTTTGCATCAGGTGGCCAAAGTATTGTAGTTTCAGCTTCAAAATCAGTCCTTCCAATGAACACCCAGGACTGATCTGCTTTAGGAGGACTGGTTGGATCTCCTTGCAGGCCAAGGGACTCCCAAGAGTCTTCTCCAACACCACAGTTCAAAAGCATCATCTTCACCCTATACTTTCAGTGTATTTTCTGTTGACTAGTATACTTTTTGTAGCAAGCATGCTGACTCCTGCCATAGTAAAATAAACAAGCTAGCCTGCTTCTTCCTTGATTCCGCTATCCTCAGGACTATCACCTTTTCTGCTTCTACCAAGAAAAAAAAAGACAGAGGTAATATTACTATAATCACATCTTTATTGCCCACTTTGTCCTTAATGCTTTACGTTCTGGTTTATATTCATAAACGCTCTTACTGAAACTGCTCTCTAAAGATAAAATCCCTTCTGAACATTCAATTCAGTAGTTCAGTGGTCTTTTTGCAATCCCTGTGTCCCTGTAACTCTGACATTATTTATACCATTTAAAGCTTTTATGGCTTTTTTTTTACTCTATTATTCTGATATTATTCTATCTTGGAGTAATCCATCCCAGTATTCATCCACCGACCCATCCATCCATC